ACAAGGAGGTCGCTCGCCCTAAAGAAAATATTGTGTTACTCAAGCCTAGTGTGGATGATGCTTGGGGCCTGGAGAAAAAGGACAACCAGGTCATGATGGCATGACTGCAGTCTCCAGGCCCATCTCCCTTTGGAAAAGGGCCAGAATCCTAAAGAAGCAGCAGCTGCAATGAGGAGAGAAGCAAATCTAAGCTGTATCTCTGTGGTTTCTGTGGGAACTTGAGAGGACCAAGTACAGCTGCTTTGTATCTTTAGCTTTGGACAGATGGCATGAAAACCTCTTTTCATGACTGCCACTTTAGGGTTGAATAGTGAAATGTGTTTCTTTCATGATGTCTGTAGGCATGGGATCTCCCCATGGCCCCATGAGGGGTCAATCAGGGACAACCATCAAGAAACCCAGAGGCAATGTGGCATGGGAAGAGGAATGGACATTGTGAGACACCCTGGGACTATCATTGTCTTAGCAGAGGAAGGAAACTGCAGGACCGTGGTTCCACGGTTCCCTTCTTACTTATGGGGCAAACACAGAATTACTTCCCTGTCGGGGTCTCATGATGTCTTGTAATACAAAGTCATCAATCTGTCATATTTCTGTTGTTTATAAAGTAACTTCAACTTATAGTAGAGCTCCAACATTCCCAAAATTCAGAGAGAAAAGAATCAGTAAAAAATTAACTTGGGTACCAAGGAGACAGTCTCCTGACTAAAGATAGTCACTGAGATGACCTTCATAATGTCCTGACCAATGATGGCTGGATTTCACGTAGAACTTTGGACAAATAGGTGGTTTCAGGGCCAAAGAAGCAAATCAAGACTATCCTTGTCTTAACTAAGAGGCTGCCCCACACATCAGAGCAGCTGGAGGAAGCTGAGCACCTCCAAGAAAGTGGGGGGACCTGAGGTTCTTCCTGTCATCCTAACGGTGAGTATGACAGAATTACAGATTTCCTTTAGAGAATAAGGAACACCAGCTCTCGGGCTACAGGACACCTGGATGCCCTAAGCCTGAGGCAAATGCCACCAGGACAGGCTGGGTAGTGGGGCTCAGCTGTCCCCATCTTTCGACCCATCTTTCAATAAAGCTGTTGGTCTAACTCAAAAAGAAAAAAAAGAAGAAGGAACAACAAAGTTAGATTAAGCAGCATTGCTTATAGTTGCAGTTTAGCAGGAAGAGAGATTTAATGTATATATAGACAGTCATTTTTTGTATGTGCGGTTTAAATCTTTTTATTTTGAAATAATTTTTGACTTACAGAAAAGTTGCAAACAGTACAAAGAATTCTTGTATACCTTTTACCTTTCATCCAGATTCCCTTTACTATATTTGTTTTATTACCTTCTGCTCCAACTATATGTCTGCTCCATCTGTTTGTCCGTCCATCCATCCACTGCTTTATCTACCTATCTACCATCTATCTATCTATCTATCTATCTATCTATCTATCTATCTACCTATCTATCTATCTATATCATCTATAATTTATCATCTGTCTAATCTGTACACACACACACACACACACACACACACACACACACACACATATATATATAATCCCAGAGATAATGCCCCTCACCTTCCAATCCAACATCCAGTGACAATTTTATAAAATCAAGAACATTCTCTTATATAGCCAAAGTACAATAATTAAAATCAGGAAAATAACATTGAAACAGTACTATTATCTAATAAACAAGCTTCATTTAAATTTCATCAGTTGCCCACTGCTGTCCTTTATAACCAAGGGAAAAATAATTTTCTCTCAGGCCCAGATTCCAATCCAGGATCACACATTACATTTAGTTGTCATGTCTCTTTAGGCTCCTTTATTCTGAGGCAGTTAGTCAGTCTTTCATTTTCTCTTACGACTTTGACATTTTTGAAGCACACAACCATTTATTTTGAAGAATGTCTTTCAATTTGAGTTTAATTAATATTTCCTCATGATTATAGACCTAGGTTCTGTATTTTGGTCATGAATACCACAGAAATAATGTTGTATTCTTCTGGGTGCATGATATCAAGAGATGTATGCTCTCCATTTGTTCAGTAACTAGCGATGTTAACATTGATCACTTAGTTAAGATGGTATCTGCCCGATTTCTCCACCATGAAATTACTATTTTCTCTTTGTAGTTAATAAATATCTTTGGGGATTTTCTTTGGTACTGTGCGTGTATCCTGTTTCTCATCACCCATTAATGATTCTTGCCTGAAACAATTTTAACCATGTAGGTTGCCAAATAATTTTCTAATTCCAAAATTCTTCCTACAACATTTAGTTGGCATTCTGCCATAAAGAAGAGCTTTTTTTCTCCCTATTCATTCATTCATCCATCCATCCATCCATCCATCCATCCATCCATCCATCCATCCATCCATCCATCCATGCATTCATTTGTATAAACTCATAAACTCATGGATTCTTATTTTAGTCTATGGCTTACAATCTACTTACTAAACTCATTATTTATTTTAATGCTGAAATTGTCCAAGATTTGGCTAGTGGGAACCCCCTGAACCTGGCTGCTGTAGATTGTGATGTGTCCCCATCATTCTTTGAGCAGTTTCTTATTTTCTAACATAGGAAAATGTCCCAGCCACCCAACTCTAAAATCAGCTATTTCTCCAGGGAGCCCTAATTCTTTTTATTGAAAAATATTTAGAAACCAAGATCCGGATGCTGGATCCTGAGTGTGCTTAGAATAAGTGTTTATTCACTTAAGCTAGAAAAAAATAGGTACACTTGTTTTTGTTTGTACACCATTTTGGGTTTTCCTCTATCTTTGTTGGTTTTATGTATTTCCATTTGAGCATATGAAATACGATATGGTTCTAAAAGTCTAAATTATAAGGAAAAATGTATATTTTTAAGACGTGTCTCCCTCATCACACACACACACATTCCTTCTATCCTGTTGCTATCCCAAGTCCTTTTCACCTATTCCCACCACCCATCAGTAACAAATTTCATTCATTTCTGGTTTACACTCATGTTTCATTTTGCAGAAATAAACAGATACATGTACATTTTTTCCTTATTTCTTTCCTAAAAGGTACATATTATAGATGCCATTTTCCTTTTTCATGCTGGATATCATCCCATATCAGTTCAAAGAAATGTTCCTAATTCTTTTTTACAGCTGCATAGTACTCTATTGTGGTGATGTATTCATCCACTCTGATGTTTGAGCACATACTTTGTTTCCAGCATTTTACAATTATGATCAATACTGTAAGTAAGTAATTTATACATTAATATTTTCTTATTTTTTGGAGGTGTAAATTCCTCGAGGTAGAATTATTGGCACAAATTAAAAATGCGCATATAATCTTTTTAGATATTGCCAAGTACCTCTCCAAAAAGATTGTACCAGTTTTCATCAATACCACCAAAATGAGATTGCCTGTTTCCCACAAACTTGCCAACAGAATGTGCTGTCATACTTTTTAATTTTCGCCAATGTAAATAAAAAATGACCTCAGTACAGTTTTAATTTGCATTTCTCTAACTATGAGTGAGCTTAAACATTTTTTCATATGTTTAAAAATATTGTGTCTTTTGTCCATTTTTCTATTGGATACATGCTTTAAAAAAAAATACTTTGCTTGAATTGCATTTTTCTTTCAGTATGCTAGGCCAAAGCTAAAAGTTATACATTTGCTCAACATTTATCCTGTTTCTTAATTTTTTCATGATAAAATCTTATCTGTGGTAATGATTTGGTTCTTGATATAGATGATGCACGCTATGAAATTTTATCAAGCTGTACCTTGTGACTTGTGCACCTCTAAAAGCTTATTTTAAAAACTCTTAGCCAATTTAATTCTGTGCTAACAGTGTCTTGCTTGCCAAATACATAAGGGAAGCTTAGTGGTTTCCAGAACTCATACTTGAAAGGTGAGCCCACAACACAACATACAGACAGGGTCATTCTCCCTCCCCTCCCACCATGGTGCCCACTCCCAACCCCCAGGAGCTTGACAAAATTAGCTGCCCTAGACATGTCTTCCCACTTCACCAGCTAGGGGAAGGATTTACCCAGTGGATAGCAGTAAGGACCCCTACAACCTCTTTTGAGTTTTTCCTACAACCCCTTCTCTATGTCCCAATAAGTGATGCTCCTCTATTTCAAGACTCATTTTCTTCATAATTTGCAGGGGTAGTAGAAGGAAATGGGTAATCAAGTCTATTAAATGTTATAAGCTACTTAGAGAAAGATTCAGATGGCCTGGACTTTTCTATCATTCTCTCTGCACTATGCAGAGCTGAGTAGTTGAGGTGCGTTCTCTCCTACCCTCAGCTTCTGGAGCCTATTTGATATGGGAGAGATTGTATAATCTAAATAAAACTGCTATGCAGGGGTGAAGGGAGAATTTTTAAGATTACTTGTCTGTTTATTGTATCTTTTAGGAGAGCCAAGAAAAGAGAGCAGCAGCATGCCTTCAGAGAATTGGCGCCACCTGAATAGCTGTCATGCTGCTGGCCTAATGATCACCTGGCCTCTCCAATGGAGCAGCCTTAAGGCAGTGGGGAATCTCTGAGCAGAGAGGCCCCAGGAGCAGATGTGAGGCAGATGCTGACAGTAGTCATCAGGAATGAACACTAAACAACATTGGCATAAATCAAAGATAAACCTCCCCTCCTGGTTCTCTCCCCCGCATGACCCCCAGATGATGAAGATTATTTCAAGGAATTTCTAGGAATAGCATTTGATGTATACCATGACCTTCCAAGGAAAGCTGGGGGCAAGGCATTGTAGTTTCCTCACCCCTCCCCAGCCAGGATACCCTGACACATGCAGAGACAATACCTTCATCTTGTGGGTCGCAGGCTGAAATCACAGTAAACACACACATGCTCACACACATGCACACACACACACTTTCTCTCACTCTCTCCCACTCTGAGTAGCATTGGAAGTAGAAGCCATTCCAGTGGCAATAACTGGTGACCCAAATCCAGGCTCCCTGAGGATCACTGGATGTTAGTTGGACCCTCAGTTTTGGACAATATGCTCAGTTGTCCATATTTGTGTCATACAGTTCTGAAGCACAGGCATAAAGAAACCAGAAGTGTCCTCCTTTATCTCCAGACATCGTTTGGTGTCTCTGTTTATGACAGCTCTTCCCTCGATGGGAAGAGAGACAGAATCAAAGTATTGCAATGCCCTAGTAGTATGTCACCATCCCTGCTCCTATTCTCCTTGCTGTGCTCAGAGATATGCTTGAGGGGTCCCTCAATCTTCTTCAAGTCATCCAGAGGACAAATGAAGCAAAATGTAGAGTTAGGTCACCCAGTGTTTTCTCTAATAGCCCTGTGACAAACTAACCATAGATCTGGGAGTGAGCAATGCAGTGCTGGGTTCCAATGTTATCATCTGCCTTTCCTGAGATTGAAGCATTGGGTCAGCATGACTGGCAAGACATGAGACAAATTGGAGAGCCATGTCCCCTTGCTCGACCTTCCTTTTCACATCTTCATCTCTGAGTCTATGAAACCCACTGGGATTCTCCCTTTCTCCTCAGTGAGGCTCTGTGGTGGGACTGGAGCAAAAGCTATGTTCAGGAATCTCAAACTATTTTCTCTACCACTCCGGGGGGCAGTTCTTACTCCTATTATGGGGGCTTCAACAGGGAACATTATGAGCTTTAGAGCTAAAGAGTCTGGGTTAAATCCCTGCTCCACCATGTACAAACAGCAGTCTTTGACAAATTAACTTAATCTGCCTAAGTCTCTACTTCTTCATCTATAAAGTGGGGTAGAATTAACATTAGGGTTAATATTTATTGAGCATCTTGTGTCTGACATTAAGAATGTGCGATAAATGTTAGTTCATCTCTGCTCCTCCCCATTCTAATGGGGGAAAAGAGAAGAGGAATCATCCTTCTCTTTCTTCCCATATGCCAACACCCCCTGAGCTTCAATGGCTCAACAGTCGACAAGCACACCATTGTCCTGGTCCTGTCCTCTTCACCCAGCACTCCCAACTCCCTACACCCCTTTACCCTTTTTTGCAGGAATAACTCCCATAATTTTAGTGTGAAGGTGAATTCGTTTCCCTCTGCTATTACCCTCAGAGTTAACAGTCTCCATTTGTCTAGTGAGAAACCCTGACCTCGCTGTTCCACCTAGGGTACCTACCCCCAAGTATTTTAACACCAAGCAGGCTGCTGGCTCTATGTCCAAATCCCTCTCCCTCCTTAAACACTGCCTCCCTACCTCTTATGTCTTCTAACCACAAACTGCCCCCAACAATCCTGGTCCCCCAAATTCGCCTGCCTCTGGCCACACCAGACTCTCCCTGCTCCACCTCCCCCAACCGCCCTAGATGCATTCATCCAGTGTCATCATTCAGGGTGGCTCTCCCAGTTCTTGAACTTCTTATGTCACTCCCACGGCTCCTTTTCCTTGGCCCCAGCTTCCGGACCACACAGGGCTCCTGGAGAGGGGCCACCACCTGAGCGGGCCTGGCCCACAAATGTACCTACAGCGGTCTGGCCTCAGCACTTGGCTTACTCCTTAGGGTTATTCCTCCAGATCTTCTCAGCATACTCTATCCCTTGATGTTCACTTTCACTAAATGACTTCAATTTTCACTTTGTCAAGAAGACCACACTTCCAGTCAATCTAGCCCCTCACCTGAATGCCAATCCTTGGGATGCTGCTCATGGATGCTCTCAAAGGAGCTGCCCTGCTTACTGCCAGCAGCCCCGTGTGTTCTGAGCCCAGACACTCTTGATATATATAAAGAGAAACACTCCTGCTGTCTAACATCTTTCTTTTATCTCTCACTCTTAGTAGCTTCCTTTTCTACTGACTTTAAATATATCCAAATGTTTCAATATTAGAAGCAGAAAAAAAAAATACTCTTAACTCTATCTTCCTTTTGCCAACATTTTGTGTGTTTCTCCCTTTCAGAATCAAACTTCTTAAGCAGAGAGGCAATAACAAACAGTAGATAAGATTCTGTGTTTGAATCTTGGACATTTACTATGCTGTGTGACCTTGGGAATATTATTTGACTTCTCTGTGCTTTAGTTACTTCATAGATGAAGTAGAGCTAATGATAATACTTCTCTTATAAAATTTATGTGAAAACTAAATTTGATCATGTTTAACCCAGTGCCTGGTACATAATACGTACTCAATTAAACTTGGCTATCATAATTAATTGTGAACTTTCAGATAGGGTCAGTGGATTTTTGGTGTTTTTTTTTTCTATTTTCTCATCACTTCCAAGTGACATGTGCTTTGGCAGCATTCCTTACATCCTCTTCAGCCTCTTTTACATTGTGTTCATCTGGATCTTATAAATTTTGGCTTTGGTTTTTATTCGCAGGGTGTTGCCTGTCAGTTTTTAAAGGATTTTTCTTTTTGTTTCCTTTTCACTTTTTAAAAAAGAAATACGTGCTTATTTTTTAACTTTGAAAATCTATTTTTTAAATTAGAAGCACTCATAATGGGATAACATTGTACATCTAGTTTTTATATCCTGCTCTTTAAATGTAACATTACATCATATACATTTTCCGATTTCATTAATTTTTTGAAAACACTTTTGAGAATAATTTTAATGGTTATATAATAGTTCAAAGGATGAACAGAAATCTCACCTACTGTTGGACATTTAATTTTTCCTAATATTTTGTTATAATAAATGTTAAGGTATTTTCTATATGAATATTGAGCTACATTTTATATTATTCAATGTCAGGGTTCTTTCTATAGAGAAATAAATTGTTTTTGGAACTAGGCCCCAACTATTTGAGAGAGCACTGCCTTAGAGGTCTCTTCCTCTTCTTGAGTCCTGACTACAAGTGGTGTCTTCCTTCTCATCAACTCTCATGGAGATTCTCTTTGTGTCCTGAGCTGTCATTCCATCTTGAAGACTTCTGAATGATGATGACCTTTTGTAAGACAACTTACCATTCTACTGTTAGAAAGTACCCCCCCACCCCCCCATCCCTTAATATAAGTCTAACTCCTTGATCTCCAATCACTGGTCTTAGTTCTGCCCTCCTGTAGACATTGAACGAGTTCCCTTCCTCTTTCTCATGAACACAGCATCATCTTTTCTCTAGATTCACTTCTCCAAGGCAGTACCTCCAGGCCTGCCAATCTTTTATTTGCTCTGCAACCATATCTTGAGTGCCTGCAATGTTCCAGGCACTGTGTTAGATGCTAGAGAGAAAACAACAAACAAAACCCAGGCCCTGCTCTCTAGTCCAAGTTTAGTGATGAAAAGAAACAAGTGAGCTGGCAATTAGAAGAGATCATGAGACAAGGCCTATAAGACAGGTACTGAGAACACACAGAAGAATCACCCATCCTAGTTCTGTGGAATCACAGGTGGCTTCCTAAGACAATGTGCAAGGCCAGGGGAATACTTTGCAGTTGGTCTGGTAAAGAGATGGGAGGAGAGAGAACAACACCTACAAAAGTGCCTGAGATAAGAGGGCGCATAGCCTTCCGTAGAATTATATGTAGTTCCATTTAGTAAAAGCTTAGAGCAGGCTAGCAGGACTTACTCTTCTCTCCTTCTCACTGATATTCTCTGGTTAAGAGGGACCTAATCTAGGATCCAAAAGACCTCTGAAACTAAGTAAAATTGTGCATGTAGGTGCTTATATATGTTTTCTTGGAAAGAGTACATAGCGTGCAGCAGATTCTCAAAGGGGTTATTAGCTTTAAGTTAGGAATGATTGAGTTAAATTGTCCATGTCCTTTAATATGTGCCTTCTGGACCCCATACAGTACCATGTTCAGAGGTATGTTCACAGACAAAGCATTACCTCCCTCTATCAGGACATCACATTCCTGCCAATGTGGCTTAATGTAGCCTTATTACATATTAAATTCACATATAGACTGTGGTCAACCAAGTCACTCCACCCTGTTTTTGGTCAATTGATGTTGAAGTTAAAGTCAGGGCTTTTACATTAGTTTCTGTCAAATTTCAGCCCAGTGCTCCAGACTCTCTGACTATCATTCATTAAAAAAATGAATACAATGGCTAATACCTATTGAATACTTTCTATGGACCAGACACTATGCTAAATGTTTTACACGCATCATCTCATTTAATCCTCCCAACAGGCTTATAAAGTAGACATTATCATCTCCATTTTATAGACAAGAAAACAGTTTCAGAGAGGGTAATACAATTGCTAAAGGTGACTGAACTAGGATTTGAACCCAAACTCAACTGTTAAGCTATAAGAGATTCCAGTATCTCCTCCCCTTAGCATCCCCACCTTAGTCAACAGACTCAGTGTTTCACTCCAAGTTCCCTTTTTCCAGTGTTTTCCCTATGCACTGCCAGAAAACGAATCTTCCTAAAACACTATCAAACCCAATCCGAACCTCTCAGATTATATGTAAACATATCCTTTAAAAAACACATGACTCACCGGTTTAAAATCTCAGTATATGTGCAGTCTATTTTTGGCTGCTTTGGAACATGGCTCTAAAGTGGGCTTCATCCCAGTGCCAGGGTCTGTCAGGCAGTGATCATCAGCATCTTCCTCTGCAATCCGTGATCCCACATAGAATTAGGTGGTAATAGACATTCTAAAAGAGAACAAAGGATCTGCCATGGACACAGTCAATGCAGAGGCCATTAATCGTACAGAGGGAGAGTATAAAGACTGCTCTTAGGTTACCACAGGGAGCACTGAACTTTCCTGGGTAACAAGAAGTAACCTCTGCTTCTTTCTTTCTACCCCCCAGTAAATTCTAAAAGGAAGACCAGGGATGAGGAGGGAGCACTAGCCTGCTTCCTTCTATACAAGGAGCACAACAGAATTATGGTTTGCATAGATGAGGAAGCTTATCTTTAAAACACACACACACACACACACACACACACACACACACACACACACACACCTGAATTTCATAAGGTGGCATTATAAGCCTCATCCAGGAGCTTGTTTTCAGGAAACTTTTCAAATTTTCAATCTGACACTGCCTTGCTTAGTGAACTTGGACAAGTAAGTTGTTTTTGTGTCATGACTTTTTTTATTTGTCAAGTGGAAATATTATCTATCCTGCACCCCTCAAAATGTTGCTATGAGGCAACATGCAAGGTAACATGATAGATGTGAGTAGTCTCAGTGAAAGAAAGTCTCCTGGCTGCACCTTCCACTTGGTGCCAGATCTCTTCTATTCCCTGGAGGGACTTCCATTCAGCCACTCTCTTCTCTAGCCTTCTGTTTCCTTCTCTACAGAAGAAGTCACGGGTAGCATCAGCTGTCCACCTTCCAGGGCATATAAGGAGCACCAGGAGGATGGAGGAAAGCAGTGGGAAGAGAGGGAAAAGGGGATTGAAGGTTATTGTCAGTGAAAATATTACCATGGAGAATGAAATAGAACTAACTTTGTGAATGAACTTGGAAGTGCTTAGTTACAAGTACAGGTTTGGGTTTCACCATTACCCGTTATCCAAGATGCTCAGCTCCAGCTTCTCCACCATCTAATACTGAGTCCAAATCTGGCAAAGATTGCTAAGGGCTGAGCCTCAACAGACTTACTCTGTTGGGGCAAAGAAGATTATGGAAGATACCTGTATACTGTATTCATGACAGTAATACATGATGGGGGTGTTGCCTGGAATAGGTCCCTGATCCAGGCAGACGTTTTCATCCAATGGGTTTTTCATCTGAAGGGGCAAAACACATGACAACACTGTTGGAAAGAGGCAGAGAAAGAGGGCCTTTGAGATTTCCCCAAGCTCTGCATTTTCTCCACCACTCCAAGGGTACCAGAAATCAGCAGCGAAAAGGGAACAGGGATTTGGGATCCTGGCAGCCATTTTCTAAGCACTAGACAAATGCCAAAGTGAGGCACTACTGTGATGCCCACTTCCTGAGAACAGCCACCCCGCTTGGACCATCAAAGCATATATAGAGAAGGGGAATCTACCCCTGTGTTCAGGTGGGCAAGGCCAAACACTCTGGCTGGCTGAGAAACTTGGAGGATCAAAGCTAGGACTGCAATTTGCAAAGTAAGGAAGCAGAAGCAGAGAGAAGGAAAAGAGATGGGAACTGGGGAGCAAGAGATGAAAGGAAACAGAGGGTCTGAGGGTAAAAAGCCAAGGAAGGAGTTGGGGGTAGGAAGGGAATTGAGCAAGATGGGCTTTGGAAACCCTTTTCTGGCAGTCAGGCAATTCAAGTTTTATTGTCTTCTATAGTCAAACATTTAAGATCTGACATTCAATTTCATAATTCATACTCTTCCATAGCCCACAATGTTGTGGATTGGCTTCAGGGCTGGATAAACATTTTTCAGATACCAGTCAAAAGTTTTACATTTCAGTTTCTCCCGGATTGCCATCCTGGAAGAAATGTCTCCATAATCGATTCCAGAGTTCTATAAATAAAATAGAGTGCTTCTGTGTAACATGCTCGACTCCACCAAAGAGTATGGGGGATACTTGGGGGAACTGGGTATTTTTCTGATGGCCTGCAAGGTAACCTTGATAATTTATAGTTTTTCAGGGAAGATGATAAAGATTAAACCCCAGGAATCTCTGTTGGTTTTAAAGGCACTTGCAAGGCCTGTGTAATGGGATTACCCAGGTTTATTACTCATCATTAGCAAGCTGATGCAGACTGCTTCTGTTTGAGATATTTACATCAATAAGGCACAAAATACTTCTTACAATGGTCAGAAAAGGTTTTCAAAAGGAATATTCTGGCATGAAAATTTGGAGCTTAAAAGACATTTTCTAAAAGTGATATCTGTGGGGAATCAAAATGAAAAAATGCTTGAGCCCAGAGCCACAGCTCAGGAAAAGAAGACAAATCACACCAAACTTAGGTGTCAAGGACAAATGATGTGCACTTAGTTAAGAAAGTCATCTTCATTCATGTGCATCTAACAGGATTACAGTTCCTACTCCCACCATCCCACATCCTGCCTGCCATGTTATATACTCTTAACACAGTGAATTCCTTATGTCCAAAGCTGCCCCACAATGATTCCACCATTGTAGATGATGGATGAAGAACATGGAATCTAAAAGATTCCTTTGTTTGAATCTTATGTCTGCTGCTTACTACCTTAGCACTTTAAACATGTTTCTTTCAACTCTCTATGCTTCAGTTTCTCCATCTGTAAACTTAGAATAACAAAAATAAAACCTAACCAAGGTAAATGCTGTGCTCACCTCCTTCCACAACCATATCAAAATTATGACTAAATTATAGAACAACCACCTGAAGATTAGCTGAACAGAACTCCTATAATAAAGGATATAAAGAAGAAGTCATGTCGAGACTAGTAAGAGGGGCAGAGACAAGAAATGAGCTGATCCCACATTCACAAGTGGTGGTTAAGAATTGGGAGAGATATCTCAGCTATGGAGGAACCTCTGAGGAATGAGGGATCCCAGTCCCATACCAGACTACCTAACTTGGAGCACCAGTGCCAGAAAGAGAAATCCCCACAACATCTGGCTGTGAAAATCACTGGGGATTCCGTCCAGGTGAGACAGAGGGATACTGTAGACTGAAGTGTTCTCTTAAATGGCTCAAGCACAGATTCACTCACTCACAAACACTTGCCTTCGGTGCCAGCAAATGAATAGCAACTTGAAAAGTACCAGAGACATACAGGGAGGAACTGAATTGGCTGGCTCCAGGGCAAGAGTTGGAAGGGCAGCTCTCTCCCAGACAGAAGTTCTGCAAAGCACCATTGTTCCTTTGTTGAGCCCTTGCAACACACAGCTGGCAAGTGCAGATGGGCATCATATCTGTGTCTCCACGTACGCAGCTAACGCTGAGCACACAACCCTGGTGATGCACTGAGACCCTGCCCCACCCAACTTGCTCACAAGAGCAAATCTCTTTCAGCAGCTATCCCTCACAAGTAACTGGTTTTGGCCCATACTTTGAACTTTCTTAAAATCCCTCCAAGATCCACAAACCCCAAATAGGCAGTGGCTGGCTTCGGCATACCCTGCACCTCTTCCTAAGTGGCCCTGAGCCAGGCACTAGTGGTAGCCAGCCTCGGCTCTCAAAATAGTACCCCCAGGCACCTCCAAGCCCAGCAAGGCAGCTACAAACTAGAGATCACTCTGTTACTCTTATCAGGTGGCCAAGGGTGAGGCAAAGGCACCAAAGCCCCTCTTAAGAGGTCCCAAAACCAACACACCCAGCAGCAAGCTTCAGACCACACCAGAGCACCACCCAATCAGTCCCACAAACAACACATCAAAAGGGTAGACTTAGCAGGCACCAGAGCCCCACTAATGTAAATACCACTGTGGGGTCAGTGTCCATAAAACAGCTCATCCACTGTAGTTACAGCCAGCCCTCAGCCAATGAGCCCGAGGGTTAATCCCACCCACTGACATGCCAACAGCAATCAAGACTCAATTACAACAGGAGGGCACACTCAACACAAGGGATACACCTACAGCACCCGGCTCAGGTGATCAGGGATACTGTGCCACTGGGCCCCATAGGATGCCTACTATATAAGGTCACCCTGTCAAGACTGGGAGACATTGAAGACCTACATAATACATAGAAACACAGGTAGGAAGCCAAAATGAAAAGACAAAGAAACCTGTCCCAAGTAAAAGAACTGGACAAAATTCCAGAAAAAGAACTAAACAAAATGGAGGCAAGCAATCTAACAGTTACTGAGTTCAAAACACTGGTTATAGAGATGCTCAATGAACTTAGGGAGAAATGGATGAATTTATTGAGAACTCTTACAAAGAGATAGAAAGCATTAAAAAAAAAACAGTCTGAAATGAAGAATACATGAACTGAAATGAAGAATACATGAGATGGAATCAAGAGCAGATTAGATGAAGTGGAGGATTGAACAGGCAATTTGGAAGACAAGGTAGTAAAAAATGCCCAATTGGAACAGCAAAAAAGAAAAAAGAATCTCTCCCAAAAGGAGATAATTTAAGGGACCTCTGATACAGCATCAACTGTCACAACATTTGAATCATAGGGATACCAGAAGAAGAGAGAGGGCAAGGGGTTAAAAACTTATTTGAAGAAATAATAACTGAAAACTTTCCTAACCTGGCTAAGGAAATAAACATACAGGACCAGAAAGTGAAGAGAGTCCCAAACAAGATGAACTCAAACAGGCCCACGTCAACACATATCTTAATTAAAATGCCAAAAATTAAAACAAAGAGAAAATCTTAAAAGCAGCAAGAGAAAAGCAGTTAGTCACCTGTAAGAAAGCTTCCATGAGACTGTCAGTTGGTTTCACAAAAGGAACTTTTCAGACCAGTTAGGATTGGCACAAAATATTCAAAGTGATGAAAAACCAGGACCTACATCTAAAACTACCCTACAGAAGAAGGCTATCACTTAAAATCAAAGGAGAGATAAGGAGCTTCCCAGACAAGAAAAAGCTGAAGGAGTTCATCACCACCAAACTAGTATTAAAAGAAATGTTAAAGGTACTTCTGTAAGAAGAAGAAGAAAAAAGATAAAAAAAATATCAATAATAAAATAGCAATAAACACCTGTCAATAATTTCTCTAAATGTAAATGGATTAAATGCTCCAATCAAAAGATATAAGGTGGCTGAATCGATAAGAAAACAAGACCCATATATATGTCGCCTGCAAGAGACCCACTTGAGCTCTAAAGACACACACAGACTGAAAGTAAAGGGATGGAAAAAGATATTTCATGCACATGGAAACAATAAAAAAGCTGGGGTAGCAATACTTATGTCAGAAAAACATAGACTTTAAAACAAAGGCTATAACAGGAGACAATGAAGAACATTTCATAATGATATAGGGATCAATCCAACATGAGATATAACCCTTGTAAATACTGACAGACCCAATGTAGGAGCACTTAAATATATAAAGAAAATATTGAAGGACATAAAGGGAGACATTGACAGTAATACAGTCATAAAGACAGGGGACTTTAACACTCCACTGATATTAATGAATAGATCATCCAGACATAAAATCAACAAGGAAACAGTGGATTTAAATGATACATTCAACCAGATGGATTTAATTGATATTTTTAGAAAATTTCACTCAAAAGCAGCAGAATATACATTTTTTTTAAGTGCACATGAAACACTTTCCAGGATAGACCACATGTTAGGCCACAAAACAAGTTCCAATAAATTTAAGAAGATTGAAATCATACCAAGCAGATTCTCTGGTCACAATGCTGTAAAACTAAAAATTGATTACAAGAAGAAAACTGAAAACACTCTAACACGTAGAGACTAAATGACATACTACTAAACGAAAAAATAATTAATTCAAGATAATGACCTAAACAGTAGAATTTCTCTTAGTAAATGTGATAATGAGTCTTACTCTTCAACCTTCAAAACTAGATAACGGAAATAACCTCAACATATTGTTGGCTTTAAAATTTGAATCTAATTGCTGTAAAATCCCAATACTAATCAATACAGAGTATTCAGTTCTTTCACAATGAGAATCTCACTTAGATAAATAGACTCCACTGTGAACTAAATTAATACCAATTGCAAAAAAAAATTATTACTGCTTTCAGGGGAATCAACTCAAGTTCGGAAGAGTTAAGTAACCTGTGTAAAGCTTATAATTCATAAATAATAGAGTTGGGATTAAATTTAATAGTAAATTTGATTAAAAACGAGATAGATTGGGTCATAGATGGCACCACAGAAACACAAAGATTATAAGAAAATATTATGAACAAATATATGCCAACAAATAGGACAATGTGGAAGAAATGGATAAATTCCTAAAAACATATAATCTTCCAAGACTGAGCCAAGGAGAAACAGAAAATCTAAACAGACCAATAACTACTAATAAACTTGAATCAATAATCAAAAGACTTTCAAGAAACAAAAGTCCTGGAGTGGAGGGCTTCACTGGTGAATTTTACCAAACACTCAAAGAAAAATTAACACACATCTTTCTTAAACTATTCCAAAAAATTCAAGAAGCAGGAAGGCTCTCAAACAAATCTTAAAATGCCAGCATTATCCTCATTCTAAAACCAGACAAAGACACTACAAAAAAAGAAAATTATAGGCCAATATCCCTGGTGAACACAATTATAAAAATCCTCAATAATATACTAGCAAACTGAATTCAGGAAGGCATTAAAAAAAAACATAAGCCATGATAAAGTGAGATTTATTCCTGGGATGTAAGTTTGGTTCAATATCTGCATATCAGTTAACATGATACACCACATAAACAAAATGAAGGATAAAAATCATATGGTCATATTAATAGAAGCAGAAAAAGCATTTGATAAAACCCAGCATTCAATTATCATAAAAACTCTCAACAAAGTGGGAATAGAAGGAACATATCTCAAAGTAATAAAGGCTATATATGACAGACCCACAGCTAACATCATACTTAACAGGGAAAACCTAAAAGCATTTTCCTTAAGATCAGAAACAAGATGAAGATGTCTATTTTCACCACTTTTATTAAGCATAGTATTGGAAGTCCTAGCCACAACAATCAGACAAGTTAAAGCAAAACAAGGCATCCAAATTTTAAAGGAAGAAGTAAAACTGTCATTATCTACAGATGACATGATACTATATAGAGAGAGAACCCTAAAGATTTCACCAAAAAACTACTAGAGCTGATATGTGAATTCAGTAATGTAGCAGGATACAAAATTAATATTCAGATATCAGTTGCATTTTGATACACCAGTAATAAACTATCAGAAAGAGAAATTAAGAAAATAATTCCTTTTTCAATTGGATCAAAAGAAAAATAAAATATCTAGGAATAAATTTAAACAAGGAGGTAAAAGACCTGTTCTCAGAAAATCATGACATTGAAGAAAAAAATTGAAGAAGATGCAAATAAATGGAAGCATACACCGTGCTCATTGTTAGAAAGAATTAACATCATTAGAATGTCCATACTACCAAAGCAATCTATAGATTCAGTTCAATCCATATCAAAATACCAATGGCATGTTTCACAGAACTAGAACAAACAATCTTAATATTTACATGGAACCACAAAAGATTCCAAATAGTCAAAGCAATCTTGAAAAAGAAGAATCAAGGTAAAGGTATCATGCTACCTGATAACAAACTATACTACAAGCTTATAGTAATCAAACTGGCATAAAAACATACACATAGATCAATGGAACAGAACAGAGAGTCCAGAAATAAATCCACATCTATGCTCATTTAATCCATGACAAAGGAGGCAAGAATATACAATGAGGTAAAGACAGTTATCTGAAGAAATCCAAAACACTAATTTGAAAATACGTATGCACTCCTATGTTTATTATAGCATTAACAGAATAGAGAGACCAGAAATAAATCCACATCTATACGCTCACTTCATATATGACAAAAGGAGGAAAGAATGTACAATTAAATTCAATAAATGGTGTTGGGAAAAGTGGACAGATAAATGCAAAAAAAAAAAAAAAAAAGAAAGAAACTGGGCCATCTTCTTACACCATATACAAAAATAAACTCAAAATAGATTAAAGACTTAAATGTAACAATTGAAACCATGAAACTCCTAGAAGAAAACATTGGCAGTAAACTCTGACATTGTTCTTAGGAATAATTTTTCTGATATATCTTCTTGGGCAAGGGAAACAAAAGAAAAAATAAACAAATGGGACTACATCAAACTAAAAAGCCTTTGCACAGAGAAGGAAACCATCAACAAAACGAAAAGACAACCTACTGAATGGGAGAAGATATTTACCAGTGATACATTTGATAAGGGGTTAATATCCAAAATTTATACAGAACTCATACAACTCAACACCAAAAAAACAATCCAATTAAAAAATGGGCAGAAGACCTGAAGAGGTATTTTTCCAAAGAAGACATACAAATGGCCAATAGACATATGAAAAGATGCTCATAGTCACTAATCATCAAGAAATGCAAATTAAAACCACAATGAGATATCATCTCACACTTGTTAGAATAGCTATCATTGATAAATCAACAAACAAGTGTTGGGGAGGTTGTGGAGAAAAGAGAATCTTGATGTACTGTTAGTGGGATTGTAAATTGGTGTAGCCACTCTGGAAAATAGTATGGAGTTTCCTCAAAAAGTTAAAAATAGAACTATCATATGATCCAGCAATCCCACTTCTGGGTATTTATCTGAAGAAATCCAAAACACTAATTTGAAAATACATATGCACACCTATGTTCATTATAGCATTATTTACAATAGCCAAAATATGGAAGCAGCCTGAGCGATAAAGAAGATGTGGTACATATATACAATGAAATATTACTTGGTCATAAAAAAGGATGAAATCTTACCATTCATGACACTATGGATGGACCTAGAAGATACTAGGCTAAATGAAGTAGGTCAAACAGAGAAAGACAACTACCATACGAGCTCACTTATATGTGGAATCTAAAAAGAAAATAAATGAACAAACAAAAAAGAAACAAACTCATAGATACAGAAAACAAACTGATGATTGCTAGATGAGATGGGGTTGGGGACTGGGTGAAAAAGAGGATGGGATTAAGAAGTACAAACTACCAATTAGAAAAATAATCATGGTGATGTTAAGTACAGCATAGGGAATACAGTAAAAAATATTGTAATAACTATGTATAGTGCCAGGTGGGCACTAGATTTATCAGAGGGATCACTTCATAAGTTATATAAATGTCTAACCACTATGCTGTACACCCAAAACTAATATAATATTGAATGTCAATTATAATTGAGAAAAAAATTTTTAATTAAAAAAATATAAAGAAATCAATTTGTATTTTATTTAAACCTCTGTTATTTTGGCCTCTGTTCCAGAAGCCAAACAAAGATTCTAATTAATATCTTTATAAATAATTTCAAATTATTTTTTAATTAAATAAAAAATGAAACCTACCCCATAGGTATTGTTGTGATGATTATTGAGTGCCTGGAACATAGTATTGCTATACAAATGTTAAGTGTCATTATCATCACAACATTGGGACTTTATCTTTATTTTTTAGGGCGGGATGACACTTTTACTCTATCTCTTCCCATTTCCCACCACTACCACCATCTCCTCCTCCTTTGTCTCTCTTCTGTCCAATTTCATGACAAACCTAGAGAAGTATGTTCCAGGCCAGGTAGACCATGTCTTTATACTCATCCATCTAGATTTCGGCCACACTCAGAGCATTGCGCTTCAAAGCGTGAGGCAGATCCAAGGCATAGGGCTTGTGGTTAGGTGAGCAATCTGGGAGCAGGGCAAGACCTCTATTCTCCCTCCACGCTGCCATACCTGCAAGAGAAGTAAAAAAAAAATCATCTCAGCAGATTAGGCCCCATAGCTGATAAATGGCATAGTTTGTAGACCCAAAGAGATCACATTTTAGAGCCATTTTTTAAAGTATGTAAATTTAGTCCTCCCACTCCCATCTCTATGTTGCCTCTCAACCTACTTACCTAAAACAACCTTCCTTAGAAGTCTCCCAAACACTTCTCTCCTGTCATTCAGACAGCTCCAGAAATCTTACCTCCTTCAGGAATTCCTCTTGAACAGACCAAAGGAAGGGATGCCTCTGATCATTTATCACTAAGGAAAGTGCTAAAGTCCTGAGCGGCACTTCACCCTTAGCTAATCCCACTGGACTTAGCTTCCCATGACCTCTCTCCACCCTACATGCCAGTTATAATGCAATGTGCTGGACAGACTCTCAGGTGGCCCCCATGATCCCTGCCTCCTGGTGTTTACACCCTTCCCTATTCCCTTCTCCTTACTTGTGAACTTGTAATCTTCTTCTAACTAATAGAATATGGCAAAGGTGACAGTACGTACATGATTGCATGCGTGTGATTACATCCAGTAAGATTATAGTATCCATCTTGCTAGGAGACACACTTTCTTGCTGGCTTTGAAGAAGCAGGCCGCTATGCTGTAAACCATATGGAGAGTACAAGAAAATAAGGATGGCTTCCAAATGACAGCCAGCAAAAACCTGAATACCTTCTCAGTCTGGAACTGAATGCTGCCAACAACATGAGCTTTAGAAGCAGATCCTTCCCCGGTCAGTCCTAGATGAGAACCCAGCCCTGGCCAGCACTTTGACTGCAGTCTTGCAGAGGACTCGGCTAAGCCAGGCATGGACCCCTGACCAACATTAATTGAGCGATAATAAATGTATCTTACTTTAAGCCACTAAGTTTATGATAATGTTGTTACATAGCAATAGATAACTAATTCAGGTAATTCTTGACCAAGACATACCATGACTTGTGATATAATTATAAATATTTTCCCTTGTCATCCTGATGGCTACAAACATACTTGTCAGATCACACATTCTAATATTTGGCTTAAAAATATGGTCTTCCTCCCAGTAGATAATAGAACTATCTAATGTTATGAGATTAATATAATGGCTCCAGGGTCTTCTCTTCATGGTTGCCCAAATGAGTTGCAGTTTCTGAAAGATAATTAGCCTATCTGGCAGAAGTTAGCAACCTACTGCACTCATGCCTGTGGGAGCAATTAAGTCCTGCTAGTTCAGTTAGCCACCTAAGAGGCCAATCCCCTTAACTGACTTTAATTTTTTTTTCATTTTTTCCTCCACTTCTGTACCCACAGACTCCTTTCCGTTGCCTCCCTTACAACCCAGAATAGAGGAGTGAAAGAAAAAAAACAAAGCTTTGAAGTCAGGCTGACCTGTATTCAAATCCATCACTGCACACCTAATAACTAGGGGATAAAACACCCCCATCCCCCATTCAATGATTCTCAGCTGGTTCATCACAAGGGCATACCCAATATCTGGGTTGTCAGGTGGACTAATTGACATAATAAGTACTCAGGGAACAGCAGCACCTATGATTATTAACTTGAAGCATACGTTTTCTTCCATTATTCTCCATTTCTCCTCATTAGTTCCCAGAACCAAGTGGAGGTTATAGCTTATTTGTTTTCAGATTTTATTTTCCGGAGCCAAACATTTAAAAATCCAAAAACTTTACTTCAATATTTCTAGTTGAAGGAGTTTTCCAAACTATAGGATTTTAAGAGAGAAAAATTAATGGTTGGCATAAGAAAACTTAAATTCAAGTGAAAAGATTAAAATCAGAATTGTAATTTGAGAAGTAATGTTAACTATTATACTTGACCAACATTCCAATTTTACTCTCTCAATTTATTCCACTTAACAAACTTAACAAAAGTGTGCGCTCGCTCTCTCTCTCGCTCTCTCTCTCTCTCATTCTCTCTCTCTCTCTCCCTCCCTCCCTAACACACAGAGACATGAAGTTTCTGCTTAAAATAGCAATAGCTATTACTACCCTAATATTTTTCATGAATTTGACCTTTGCCATGTAGGTATAATTATTATCTCCACTTAATTAACTTGCCCACGTTTGCCAGCTTAGTAAATGACAGAGCTAGATTCTGAACCCAGGCCATCCACGTGTTAAGCTCTGGCGCAGTGTCAGGAATATAAGTGCCAGGTGCTTGACAAATGCTGATTTTCCTTTCTCAGCCATCAATCCCATCTCTCCATCTCCATTTATACACATCCATGCATGCCATTCACGGCAGTGGCCTCTAGATGTCAGAATAGGACACTCCATGCAGCTCTGGTGTTTGCTAAGGTCTATTACTGAGAAAAGATCTTAACAAGTGCTTAGGGGTTTTAAAAGGCAAATGGCCACACAACGTAAACCAAGGAAACTGGATATGGGTAAACTGTTTTATCCAAGAAAAGCAAAAGAATTACCCTGCCCTGACATGTCCTACTTTTCCAGCAAAATTTAAAAGAAAAGAGGACTTCTTGTAGAAAATGAAATGGCAAAGTTTGGCATGTGGAACAGAGGAATGGAAATAGAGAGAGGCAGCCTAGATGCAGAAAGGGAGAGCAGAGAAAAGGACGAAGAACTCAGAAATGGTAAGAAGGGCTTTGGGTCCCAAGTTGGGGAATTGGGTTTCCAGCCAAATTCATAGGAAGGTCTGATAGGTGGGAAAACCCCAACTGCTATGTAGCTAGGGTCATCTTTAGAATTTTGCTAAGTACCATACATAAAATAATTATTTCTACATTTATATATTTTTTGTCCTAGAAACTAATTATACTCCCAATATCTATTCCCCTCTGCATCAATAGTTATAAAGGGACTAATTGGACACATAACTAACTAGCTAAAATCTACATTTCCCAGACTCTTTTACACATAAGTGTGGCCATATGATCAGTACTGGCCAATGAAATACAGTATCCACAGCTTGCAGGTAGTACCCTTAAAAAAGAATGAGAAAGCTCTCTTCCCCCGCCAGCCCACCCTTTTTCTCTTCCTACTAACTAGAATACAGATGTGGTGCTAAGTGTGTCAAAACCACAAGATGGGAGAGACTTGGTCCCCATCACCCTGGAGCTAACATTTCACTCCTAAACTGCTTATGTTCGAATGGTAATATAAGAAAGAAATTAATTTCTATCTTATTTAAACCTCTGTTATTTGGGTGTCTGTCCCAGAAGCTAAATAAGGATTCTAATTAATATCTCTATAAGTCATTTCAAATTATTTATTATGTTTTAACTGCACCATCATCTATATGAAATAGTTAAAACAATGACGCTTTTCATTTCAAAAATGGGGAGACTGATCAAGACCACACATGAAAAATTTGTTCTCTCTGCCAAAGAATGATTGTGGCTTAATGGATAACCCAGACAAGGACTCGGAGTTTATTTGTTAACATGTAAATGTGGGGTCCTGGTTAGGTTCTAAGTGGGTACAATATATGGTCATCAGTCTCAACTGAAAAGAAGTTAAAGGGTATAGGTCTGAATAAGCTTTAGACAGGAAATTATCTTGTTCCTCCAGATACCACAATGGACCAGAGGTCACCTGGTCTCAGGCACAAAATTTTGGAGCTGGGAGAGGTAAAAAAAAAAATCCATTTTACAGAAGCTCAGTCCGCAGAGAGTTAGCAAAGCCAGAATTAGAACCAAAGTCCAGCATTTTTTACAATGCCACCCTGACATCCTTATTATTGTTATTTTTATCATTAGCCATTTATTGAAAGTAAGTCATGTGTCGCTCATCATGCTAGGTTCTTGATGTAGCAGGTATGGCTTAGAGGACAACACAAACTTTCTGGTGGAAGAGTAGGATTTGAACTTAATATCTAGATTCCAATACATGTGTAATTTTCACTATCTTATGCGACATCTTTTAAGAGTTCAGCCTTAGGCTGAAAGATGAAAGAAAGATCAACCAATAAGTACAGTCACAAACCCAAGGGTCATGGCCTTTTAATGAAGGCCTATAGATTATACAGAAGAGGAAAAAGGATACTATGCAAGAGATATTTTATACATGAAACCTGTTCCAAACTGATCATGATGGGTTCAATCTATTGGCCCCAATTCTTCATACCTCTCTTCATGGCTTCATTGTAGACAGAAGATACTCCCACTCCTTTGACTTTGGGCTTGACCACGACAAATGGAATAGGGCAGAAAAACATAATGTGCTAATTGCAAACCAAGGCCTTAAGAGCTACCCCTTCCAAGCCCTGCAGATCCGTGAGAATAAATTACTGTTGTTTTAAGTCACTGAGTTTGGGGTGGTTGGTTACACAGCATTTTTATGGCAATAGCTAACTGATACGCTGATGTAGTATGAACTTGTATTTGGAATTTCTCCAGTTGTCTAGTTTGTACCCTGAATTTCCTTATAAAGCACAAAAAATCTGAATGTTTATTTGACCCAAGGCAATATGATAAATATGAGAAGCTGTCAGGGGCAGAGAAGAGGCATCATTGCTGAAGTGTGAAGCCAGTGTTGTTCCTCCAGATATTGGTGTTATTCCAGGTAGTTAGTCAGAACTACAATTGGTTTGAGGATTTTATTGCTGTACAAACTGGCTATTTGTCTAGACTAGACTACATCTCAGCATGAACTTATGTCATCATGTCAGCTGCTCTAGCTGTCTCTACAGGAGCAGGCTGGCTGCCCACACATCTATATCACTTATCCCTCTTCCCAGTTTCTATTTGACTGGTCTTGCAGATAGCTGTCTGCCACAAAGTTCTTTTGTCCTAAGAGATGCTTGGAAATGCCTGGATTCCTCAAGGTAAATAGGGACACCATCTTCTGAGCCTCAATTCTACCCCTTCTCACCCATATCTTCCAGATTATATATACCTACACCAGAAAGCTCCACTCCAGAAGTCCTATTGCCCATCTCTAGTGACCTAGAAACATGAGGATTTGTCCACCTCTTGAGCCAAGGATTGGCTTGTTTCAGGATTCCACAGGTCCTACTACCCTCCTATTATTTCCTTTTCTGTTTTGTCCTATAAGGATAATGTAAATGTTCCTACCCTCAGGCTAAGTTCCACATTCTCTCCTCCATAGACCAGCATACCACCATCCAGAGATCTGATCTTTTCCAAGAAGAGCCTGTTGGCAGCCAGGATGCCCATGATGGAAGGACTCCTATAGAGCATACAGCAAGAGAGTTACTAAGCCCTCAATGATGAATGGGTTAGGATGGAGGTGAGGGATAGAAAGTCCAGTGATGGATTGGCCTTCAAAACTCTACCTAAGCCTCTTATTATTTTGTAGCCTTTCCTTAACCTCTCAGGCAGGACTGAGTACATTGTAGCCTTCTCTCACCTCCTGTGCTGTCATAACCCTTCCCAAAGTCTATTGCAAGTACATCCTTTTCATCTTTGTATCCCTATTTCATAGCCTGATAAATACTTAAAATGGCCCAAATATTTTCTAAAATGTTATATACTTGGCTTTATTTTGCTCGGAAGCCCTCAAATAGCCCAAAGGGTCTCTAATTTTTTGCTTGGGGTCATCTTTTTTTTCTCTATCCCCTGTTCTTCACTCTCCCTACCTCATTTTCATTACTACCACCAAATATAAACAAAACCCACATCTTCACTTTCTGACTTCCCAAGTGCTATCCAAGTTCCCTCAGCCCAGTCAGACTTACTTCACTGGAGCGGTGACATCATTCAGGTCAGTCCAGGCCTTTGGCAGTGGATCATAGCGGCACCATAGTTTCCAGTTAACCCATCAACTGCTAATCATACTTACCCAGTTCGAAGGTGTCAAAATGAATGTTATCAAACACAAGAGGCACAATCACAGTGTGGTCTTCCTGAATCTGAGCCAGGATGGGCTCCGCCCTAGAAGAGTGTGTAACAAACCCAGGTTAGTTATGAGAGTAAGCGGAAGAAGCAAGCAGACAAAGATGCTCTAAGAAGCTGCCCCGACATTGAGCGCCTTCTTCACTGAGGCTGTGCTGGGTGGTGAGGAGAACTAGCCAGAGTCCAGAAAATCTCTGCAACTTTTGGGATAGCTGGGGATTCTAGTAGCTGACCATGCAAAATCATATTTGAAATTAGTACCCAAATACCATCCCCAAGCTGTATTCATCAGTATTCCGCCTGAATGCAAATGGTCTCTTGGGTATCCCTGTTTCCAAAATGATGTCTCTTTACTATCCGATTCTTTACCTTCTCCAAAACACAGCATTCTTTGTATCATGTAATTTCAGGGTTGAGAAAAACCTTAGGAATTACCAAAAGATAATCTCTTCATTTTGCAGAAAAGGACATGAATGTCTAATTAGGTGACGTGATTTATTCAAACTTACAAAGTATTTGGTAAAGTCAGGGTTGAAATCAGTAGTCAATACTCCAAGCTCATTGTTTCTTTCTCTAGCACCAGATTACTATCCTTAGCCAATCAAAATCTCTGAATAAAAGCATCTTGTCTTTGGAGCATCCCTTTGTTTAAGGTCTTGTGTTGACTTTTCCCTATTTCTACACTATCCCATCTTTTATTCAGTACATGCACAGTATCTCCTTTCTCCCCTTTCCCAAAAGAAGAAAGCTCCTGATGCCTTACCACCCAGCGTTTACTTCAACATGAGTATCCAAAATGGCAACCATATCAGCCGTGGCCACTTCTCTGCCAGTGTTGCGTGCTTGAGCAAGACCTTTTCTCTTGGTATGCTGTACTGTTTTCAGTAGTCCTGGATACTTCTGGTTGTAAAGCCTTATCTTCTCATCCAAGTTTGCCTTTAGTTCTCCCGTCAACCAAATGCACACCCATAGAAATTCCGAGTGCCATAATCAATTCAGTACAGAAATACTATAATACATACTATTATATATATAGACTACCTCTAGCTTAAGATGAGCAATTCTACAGCTTTGACTGAGAAAATAGTCAGTGTTTCCCCTGCACCTACCTCTCCTCTCCCTTTCATCCTCGGGCTTAATATTGCCATTCCTAACCTCCTTTCCCTCAAAGTTAAATTATCTTAGAATAATAATACTGCTTACTATGTGTCAGACACTGTTATACAAGCTTTATGTATATCGAGAAATTCTAGGAAGAATGAGGACAGACCTGATCGAACTAAGGTACAAATGCTGATGGACAGACTTTGCAGAGAGAGCTTGCAGCATAATCTCCATAGCTAAACATGCAAAATTTTCTAGAGAATACATAAACAACTAAAATTGTTTTGTGCTGTGTTAGCTATTTCTACTTGGCCTACTCAAGGGCCAATGGGACAGAATGCCCAGACTAATTTTTTCCAGCTCTTAGCCAATCAGTTTACCCTCATAATTATGCAAATGAGTTTCACTATTCCAAGATTGTTTATAGTTTTTTCTTCCCTATCTCCCCTCACTTTTATAAAGCCTACCTATGCATTTGTCCTTTGACTCAGCCTACCAGTTGATGTCCTCATGTTATAAAAGCAACTTGCATGAAAATCACTAAGCAGCGTTTAAGGTATCTGACCAAATGACTCTGAGTTATTCATTGATAATATTAATTTATTAATTCTCAAAGAATTAATATGAGGTAACACTTCAGTATCCCCACTTTACAGATGAAAAAACTGAGGCACAGAGAGGTTAAGAAACTTGTTAAGTTACACATTTAGTAAGTGGCACAACTGGATGTCAACCCATGTTGTATTTAAACACCATGCCATGCTGCCTCAGGAATTATGTACTTGATTGGGTTTATCAAGATTTTCCTCCATCCACTCTTCCCCATCTCCTCACCCTCATTTCCCAGAGATGAGATTCTTTCTGGTTCCTGTCTCAGAAGAGGAGTAGATTTGTGAGTCCTGGAGTGGCCAGGAGCTGGAATCAATACCTACATGACTATGTTACTAAAATTTGCCCCATTTTAGAACTTTCCGTGCTCCACTCCAGGGTGACTGACTCAAGAGTCGTAAGTGTTAAAGAGAGCCAATGGATATGAAGGTTGTTTTCATCTACTAAAAGAAACAAAAGGTGGAAAGTCGCTACATTCACCCAGTCGCTACATTTAGAAAATAATCAGAAGGAGTTGACATATTTTTTTCTGCCTCTGCTGCCACCATGGCACCCATGAAAAAAGCTTGTGGTGAAGCAGGCCAAAAAAATAAAATAAAATAAAATAATTAAAGTGAATAGAAAAGCTGAGACTCTTGGTGGAGGGGTTATAACTATTGAAAGGAGCAAGAGCAAGATTACCACAATTTCTGATGTTCCTTTTTCCAAAAGGTATTTGAAATATTTCACTAAAAACTATTTGAAGAATAATCTATGTGATTGGTTGCATGTGATTGCTAAGAGCAAAGAGAGTTAGGAATTACGTTACCTCTAGATTAACTAGGATGAAAAAGAGAATGATGAGGATCAAATCTCATTTATCTGAAATATTTTGCATGAGTTCTTGAATAAAACTTGAGAACCAAAATAGTGGGGGATGGGGGAAACAGAAAAAAAGGAAAAGAAGTGGTTGCCATAGACTCTGGATATCTAGACTGTAATTTGGGCTCCCTTACTATCTAATTCTGTCAATTCCCATTTGGAGAATCTCTGTTACCTCAATTTAGAGAAGGCTGGATAATATATCAAGATCCTTTCTAATTCCAAAATTCTATGAGTTGTAGATTTTGAGTCACCCTCTCAGAAATAATGCCTATAGTCCAGCACAATTAAGACCCTCAGTGGATCTTCTAAAATAAACCTATGCTCTCTTCTCAGCCTGGCTCTCTCATTGGTACTCCCTGCTCTGACTCCCACAACAAAAATTTTTATTCCAGGCTGGTCAGCTCAGGGTGCTTCTGGCTTCTGCATCTTTGCTCACATTATTTTTTTCTTCACTCCCTATCTCTCCCCACCACAACCAGTCTTTCTTTGTTTTCTTTGCCTTTTCAAGTCCTAACAAGCTTTCAAGTCCCAAACCAAGTCCCCCTCCTCCAGAAAGCCTCTGTAGGTCATCCCAACCACTTCTCTGGGCTTTCTTGCACTCACTTCGATACATTACTTTTCATATATTGAGGTGTCTTTCCATAGGTGTCTTGCCTCATTAATTAAAACGGAAACTTCTCGAAATCACTGACTTTCTCTTTTATGCACAGTGCCTGGCACATGGTAGAAACTCCATAAATAGTTGTTGATTGTAGAATTTGCCTAAAATTGGGGAGAAAATACTGGATCCCATCTACATTAATATAATTTTTGAAAAACTTAGATTAGCTCTATTGACACTTGTAACATTTGACCTGATACAAATGAAGCAGGGAAAAGGAAGGGAGCACAACTCTAATACTAACTTGTGGCATTTCGACAGTACTGCAAATGGTACTGAGATGAACTAGAAATAACAACACTACCTACCATTTATTGGGAGCAAGCCCTATGCTGAAGACATTACCTTTATCGTTTAATCCCCAGAATGGTCCTGTCAGGAAGGCATTATTATTTTTCTCATGTTACAGATGAGGAAATGGGGTGGGGAATTTGAAGTAATGGAGTTACTTACCCCTCAAAGTCACATGAATAGTAAGTTTCTCTTATGGCACACATAGTAGAAACTTCCAATTACTTTTCTCAGTTTAACACAAAACAGTTTTTTGAGTTAAGTTCGGTTTAGGCCCAATCCAGCTGAGGTTTCCATGGTTAATCAGAAAGAAGCTAATTCCTGTCCCAATGACAGCAGTCAAAGAATTACTAACAGTTCCTCTTCTGTGCCCATCCAAATAAGCTATCTCTGTGAAAAACATAACTGAGTTCCCAAACCTAGTGAAAGCAATGTGTTAAATGATAGGAACATAGTTTTGACAATCCAGCACTTTGTTACGTGGCTACTCTATGTTTGTAATCCTGTATCCTTTGATTTCACCATCACTATTCTATCTTTTGATTTCACTGTTCCACAGGAAGAAGACAAATTAACTCTTCTCTGCTCCTAATGGAATGTGGAATTATAGGACCATTAATTTTTTTTTTTCCATAGAGAAAGGTTCAGAGGTGCTCAAGCTCAGCCTCTGCATTTGCCCTATGAAGAAGTTAAATCCCAGAGAAGTGAGATGACTCGCCTCAGGTTATCTCTGAGCCAGGGAGTGGAGCCTGGGTCTTCTCAGATGTCTAGAACAGAGGTCTTTCTAATTAAGTTATTTCTTGCTTGAAAACCACGTATGCAACTTGGTATCAGTCTCCATGCCCAGAAACAAGTGAAGTCAGCCATTCTTTTTTCTTTGTTTTTTTGGGGGGGCGGTGGGGGGGAGGCAGAATTTTGCTTTGGAATTGTACCTTCTCATTTTTTGTGCAGTTATATTGGAAGGACAAGATAGGAAGGTATTTGAAGCATGAAAAAGAAGTGTTCTTAGTCTCTGGAAATCCATAAAAGAAAGTTTAAGAGGACATTTGTCTCTTAACCTCAGGTCAAACTGCTCCTAATTTGAAGATACAATAACCTGTCAGGTACTTAAAGATCCTCAGAGAAGAAACAAATTATTCCTCTCACACCCTGTCCTTTTACAGCATTTACTATCAGAAATTTCTTCTTTATCACTAGCCCAGATCTCTGGTTTCATGACTTAATTTGAATTTGTTTTAATTCATGCTAGAATTAATGACTTAATTCTAGTTTGTGCCCCAAATTGATAAAACTAAGAACTAGCACTTCCTGAGAAGTGCTAAATGCTGTACATAATCTGTATATTATATTGGTGAACACCGTAGTTAGAGCTAGGGCTCTAGACTCTGAAGTTATGGTCAAATCTCAATTCTGTCACTTACCAGCTGAGTGATGTTGAGCAAGTTCCTTGACTTAGTTTTTCACATCTGCGATTTGGGCAAATAAAGTGGTTCCTTCCCCATAGAGTTATTGTAATGATTGAAATAGTTAACATGTGTAAAGTACTTAGAACAAACAATGTTAGCTACCATTATTATCTCATTTAATTCTCACTATAGTTAATGAGATAGTTATTATTATTGTTCATGTTTTGCAGATAAGGAAGCTGAAGCATGGAGAAGTTAAATTACTCAAGGACATAGAGCTCACAAGGGAAGAACTTGGATTCTAAAACCCCAGAAAGTGAGGACTCAGGTTCACCCACCACCTCCCACTTCCCCATGCGTCTTCCTTGGGTGGGTTAGACCAGGGTGGGAAGGGGGCACGTTGTGAGCAAAGGACATGGTGTCTGTAAAGAGTCTCAGAATCCAAAGCTCTCCTTTTCTCTCAGTTTAATTACCTGAAAGATTGGGGGTTTTTTACTCATAAGGAATGATTCTGAATCCCTTCTTGGTGTCTGAGATCCTCCTTTGGACCTCACTTCATTCCCTCAGGCCTCTCTCATGGTGCCTGGACAGGGCACAGATGGCTTTGGAGTCACACACTTCTGGGCCTGATTCAGTTCCACCACTGACTCGCCATGTCATTTGGACATATTGTGTTCTCTCTGTCTTTGTCCCCTCCTCTGTGTGATCGAAATGATGTCCCACTGCCTTGACTTCATGGAGATTAATGTGCCCAGCCCAAATAGGCACTCAATAAAAGATCCCTTTCTTTTTCCTGTATGAGGAGCCCAAAGTGTTGTGAATACAAGCTAAAACCCCTTTCCAGCATAGCACAGTCAATAAATGGTCATTTTTACTACTATCCCTTAATCAGGTTGCTCACCATTTGAGCTAAAATCATCCACCAAGGTGACCTCCTTCAAAAATCGAGATGGAGTCCGGTTGATGATACTGGTGATAGCCCCCTGTATAATGGACAGAGCTTCATTCATGAATATGAGAATGACACTGAGGGATGGGAGTTGTGAAGAATATGTCTTCTGAAGACATCTGTAAGAGACCATTTTTAATAACCATATTACTTTTTCTAATTACTTAAACAATCTGCGTCTTCATTACATACAATGTGTATAGGTGTAGATATGAACAAAAACCATCTCTATCTTTGTGTCCTTTCATGCTGTGATCTTTGACCAACCTCACTGCCTTCACTAAGCATATCAAAGCCTTCCAGTTGATGATTACCTGTGCTCCTTAAAATGTAGCCATATATGCGTTTGTTAGTAACAGCTGGAATGGCATGACAAACAAAATAAATATCAAACTGGTAGTAGTATTAATTATAAACAATCATAAGACCACTAGGAGGTATGGCCCCTGGTGCTACTACATTCTTTGTCCCTTTGTCCTGTCAGTCATTAGTACCCAGAATTATACTATAAAAATGTACTGTAACAGGAGTCTGCAGCAGAGAATAATCTGCACAGAATCGCTAGGTCATCTTTTCTGCTCCCACCCAATCTTCCCGTAAGTAAATTACCCTATAATAAATTCTGTTGTATTCTATGGAGTTGCCTGCTTTGTTTTTCAGTCTGCAGATACCTTTTCATTATGGTGGCCATTATATTTTTTCCCCACCAACAGACATGTTGTAATATCAATCAACTCATCAACTCTCCAAGCTCGTTACGAAGGGAAACTCTCACTTGCTTATCACAGTAGCAAGATTTTATATTTGTTTATCCAAAATGTTCCTTTTATGGGGATAAAACCATTTCTTTTTTATTAATCTTCAGTAGACATTTCCACTTGAGCATTCATCATGCCCCCAAAGGAATTCCTCTTCCACCCCCAAATTAGCTTCCTTGCTAGAGACCTTCTTTCTGTCATTTCCACCACCCTGTCCCCATGTTCTCAGACTTTTAGTCTTTTTTGACATAACTCTTTACTTAACCACCACAGAGAGGTGGCAAACTGTTCAGAGAATTGTGTTATTTTTTTTAAATGTTGTAATTTCCATTTATTAAATGCTTATCATATGCCACATTTGTTTACTTTTTAAAACATTTTTATTGAGATAACATTTCACATATGATAAGATTTGTCAGTTTAAAAGTGTTTTTTTATAACATTCAGAGTTGACCAACCATCACCACTATCTAATTTTAAAACATTGTATCACACTAAAAAGCAACCCCATACCCATTACCAGTCGCTCACCATTTCTCCCCATAATCTACTTTCTATCTCTGTAAAATTTCATTTCTGGACTCTTTATGTAAATAGAAATGTACAATATGTGATCTTTTGTGACTGGCTTCTTTCACTTAGTAAAATATTTTTAAGGTTCATCAACTTTATAGCAAGTCTCAGTACTTCATTCCTTTTTATTGTCAAATAATATTCCACATATGCCACATGTTTATCCATTTATCAGTTGTTAGATATTTAGGATGTTTCCACTTTTTGGTTACTAATGCCACTGTGAAAATTTTCGAACAAGTTTTTATGTTGCCATATGTTTTTATTTCACTTACACACACACCCAAGAGTGCAACTAGTAAGTTATATGATAACTCTGTTTAACATGTGGACCGTGAGAAGAAATATTCATTTGATATGAACTCCAAGAAGGACTTTATCTGATGAGATGGACCCCCCCACAGTCAACCAGGGGCCCAAATTTTATAAATAATAAGGGCTTAGCGGCTATTTGCTATTTGCACTTCTCGCTTACTCTGTACACTGGGAAGGACCTCAGACTGAATTCTCGGCTTCTCGCACTATGCACTGCTTGTTTACACTGTCTGAGTCAGCTACTGAAGGGAACCAGTGGACTGAAACCTGCCTTGTCCAATCAGAAATGTACAATTTTGATACTTCATTTACATAAAACATACCTAATTGAAGACCTGGGTGGGAACTTTTTGCTATAAAAGACTTCTTCCCTTTTGTCTTGGTGGAACACAATTAAGATTGCTACCTGAATCTGTGTCTCCCAGGCTGTAGCTCCTCTCAAATAAATGACTTTTATTCTTTATTACAGTCTAAAATTAATTTTGGTTTACAAACAAGTTGATGAATTGCCATATTGTTTTCCAAAGTGGCTGTACCATTTTACATTACCAGCAGTAATGAATGAAGGTTCAAATTTCTCCACATCCTGGACAGTGCTTGTCATTTTCTGTCATTTTGATGATAGCCATCCCAGTGAACATGAAATATTATCTCTCTGTGGTTTTGATTTCCATTCCCCTAATAATTAATGATGTTGAGCATCTTTTCATTGCTTGTTCGCCATTTGTATGTCATTCAGAGCAATGTCTAAGTCCTTTGTTCATTTTTAATTTGGTTATTTGTCTTTTTATTATTGAGTTGTAAGAGTATTCTAGATTCAAGTACCTTACTGGATATATGATTTGCAAATATTTCTCCCACTCTGTGAATTTTTTCACTTTCTTGATACTATTATTTGCAGCAAAAGGCTTTTCAGTTTTGATGAAGTTTAACTTTTTAATTTTCTCTTTTATCACTTACATACTTTTGGTGTCATAACTAAAAAGCACTGCCCAATCCATGATCTCCAAGATTTACGCTTACGTTTTCTCTCAAGAGTTTTACATTTTATCTCTTATATTTGCACATATGACCATTTTCAGTTAATATTTATGTGTGGTGTGGTATAGGGGTCCAACTTCATCTCTTTTGCATATAAATCCCCAGTTGTCTCAACAACATTTGTTGAAGAGATTATTCTTTCCCCGACAGAATCATCTTGGCAGGTGTTTGCCAACCTGGAAGCTCTCCAAACCCTGTATTATTGGGATCTTATGGAGGTTTTCTCATGTAAGCATGATAAATTATTAATGCCATTTCCAGCCCCTCTCCCCTCTCAGGAGGATGGGAGAATAAAACTGAAAATTTCAAGCTTCTGGTAAAGGCTTGGTCTCTCTCATGATCAGCCCTTATCCAGGAGCCCACCCAGAGTACCCTCAATAGAACAAAAGATTCTCATAATCTTATTACTTAGGAATTTACAAGGATTTCAGGAGCTCTATGTCAGGAACCTAGTTATTAAGAGGGTCGAGTGCAATAATGTGCTTAAAGTGCTCAGAATCAAAGAAGTATTTAATAGATGTTAGCTGATCGTATTACTACTTTGGTGATTCTTGTTGTTGTTATGATTATTACTTGAACAATGACACCATTCACTGAACTAGGAATAATGAGAGGCGAAAAAGAAATTGATGCTTTTAAGTTTGGCCACCTTGAGTCTGAAGTGCCTCGAGTCACACCATGAAATCCTTCGCAGGTTACTGAATATATGGTCCCACAGCTGCAACTGAACAATGTGGATTGGAGACGTGTGAGTTTGGGAGTGTATAGAGCATGAAGAATTGAGAACTTTTGAGGCTTTACAAAATAGATTCCATGGGAGCCAGTAAATGACAGTAAAGTCAACTGGCACATAATGGGAACGCCCTTAGGGTGTGGCTGGAATATCCCAAACCACAGAAATGACAGCCAGGACTGTCCTGGGAAAGCCCCCATCCACAGGGGCCAACAAGCAGAAGGATCCCATCTTGTAAGGTTCGTATAAGCTGAACATCTTAGACTGACGATGCTCAAGACTAACCCGGTAGCATCAGGGACGGGTGCACTGAGAGTGCAAAACCTAACTTTCCACCCATCGTAGCCACTGGCTGGGGACCTATGTGCAGCTCTCCATGCCACCAGTCAACAGAGCTCAGAGCTCTCTTTGGAGACACTAAGGATTTTCATCCTGGCACTGTCGCATAAAACTCTTACCCCCTCTGTGTGTTGTGTGTTTATTTCAGAAGGTTCCATTCAATAAATATGGCACTGAGGAAAGACACAAATGCATTTAAGGATGTTACTGCAGTAGCCGCTTTTCTTGTTCACAACAATAGTTGTCACCATGTAAGTGGTGGTTGGTTGTGAAGACTTGGATAAAATCACTCAAGTTACATGCAGATAAGAACCTTAAGCTAAAGCCTGACAGTGATTAATATTTAAAGCTGAGGCAGAGGAGCATGAGAGGTAAATTTTAAATTCTCCATGTCTAGTACAGAGTAGTTATATAATAAATATGCATTTTCATTGAGGGTTGAATTGATAATCATGCTAAATTGAAAACTAAATTAAACTCTGCTCAGCTTCTTTTTCCTCTAATCCACATAGTTCAATCAGCTACCTTCAGATTTTGTTTCTTCCAGTCTCACACGCATCTTTCTGAATATTTTCTTCACTATGTTCTAAATGCTTTCACAACACTTCTCTCATGCACACCTCACATTCTCTTCACCACCTTATATCAAGAAAGGCAAGAAGTGTTGCTCCTGCAATTCCAAAAGGAATGATCTCTCCTTCTCCTTTGCTTCCCAGCACCTGACCTGAAATATATAGATCAGTTCTATCCAATAAAATTTTCTTCAGTGATAGAAATATTTTATATCTGGGGTGTCTATTATGATAGCCACTAGCCACATGTGATTATTGTACACTTCTAATGTGGCTATGTAACCAAAAACATAAAATTTTAATTTAATTCAAGTTTAATTTCCATTTAATTAGACATATGTGACTAATGGCTACCATATTGGACAGATACTGAAAAATATTTATTGCTTGGATGACAGCTACAGGAACTGATCTCTAGCAACTCCTTCCAATATAGAACCGCAGCCCTCTCTCACTTCTAACAAGTGGCACAATGGGAGAAATAGATAAGGTGAGTAAGTTCTAGGTATTAGAGTTAGAAAGATAAACTTTATGCATATCATGACTTTGCCTGAAACTACTGTTCTACACAATAAATAAATTAATATGTGCACATGCAAACAGGCTTTAAGTAATTGCAAAATATATTCTTATGTTGGGATTTCCTAAGGCAAGTTATGTCATCAACAAGATCAGCTTCCCAGATGTGCAACTTGTACAGTCATACAGGTCCCCACAGTTAACTTGGCTTAATACTTTGCTATCACCATCTTGAAATTCTTAATAGTTTTTCAACAAAGGGCTCTACA